TCCGAGCGCTTCGTGCTGGCCGGGTCCATCGGCTGCGTCTCCGGGACAGGAGGTCCTTTAGCGGCAAATCCAGCTGACCCTTGGCCTCCTCTGCTCTCAAGCCAGGACAGGGACCTGGGAGGAGCCAGTGGGCGCGTGCGGGCGGCTGACACAGCCCAGCCTGTGGGAACTGGGTGCCAGCCTGCCTCCCGTGTGCCACTTCCGTCCACCGACTTCCCTAGGCCCTATCCACTTACCCACTTCTCAGCAGGGCTCTCTGAAAAGCGCGGGTTCTCAGTGCGCTGCATAGAAAGGACGCAGGATCTCTGAGAGACCTATCTGGAGTCTGCCAGCCCCTGGCCTGCCTGACCTACTGTGGCCCAGCAAGCGTCCGCAGGGAGGCCTGGAGCCGGGCTGCCCGGGTGGCACTCCCTCAACCTGAGGGGACGCCCCAGGCCTGGCTCCCAGGCCCGACGCAGAATTCGGAGGCGGGACCCCGGGGTCTCGGTTCTCCTCTCTCTTCACGTCCCAGCCCTGCCTGGGGAAAGCCGAGTCCTTCCTCCTGGCACCTGACGGCTCTGAGGCTGCCAGCCACAACCACGTGCCTGCCTGGCACCCAGCCCCCCTGAGCGCCCACCTGCCCTCCACATCATCCTCAGCCACCTACCAGCCACACCTGCCTGCCTCAAGACACCTGGGACTCTCTCCTCTGTCTCCAAATTCACCCTGGGGTCTCTTCCTCGAGCAGGTGAATGAATGAAGGGAGCTTTCACTTCTTCAGCTTGAGGCACAGACCCCGGGAGCAGCATTGCCTGGTGCACCCAATTTGCATACCTGGTGACCTTGCACAGGCGAGCAGGCAGGAAGCTACCGCTTTGCATGGGGCCGACAGTGAAGGATTGTCTGAGCAGAACGGAGCCGGGGCGCGGCACCAGGCCCTCCCTCCGCCCGCACAGCCTGCGGCCGCGGCCCTCGCCCACTGAACCCGGGGGCGTGGGGAGGATGGACGCAGTGCGCGTGTGTGGTTTTCTCTTCCCTCAGACGCATCGTCCCATCCGTGGAGCCGAAAGCTCTGCTGCCATCCGAGGCTGTGCTTGAGAAGAAGAGGCTGGCTCCAAGCCAGGCCGGTCACAGGCCTCTTTCTGCCTCAGTTTCCCCCATAACAGAGAGATCACGGGAATGGAATGAGCCACTGAGCGTCCTACTCAAAGGGGGACCAGCCAGCACCGGGAGCTCATGGGAGGCAGACTCAGAATGGAAATCCGCCCTGCCCACTGCAGGCCCTGGCTGGCCGGGCCTCCCCAGCCTCCTCCCACGGTTGGGGTGAAAGTGGCTTGTCCTGCCCGTGCTCAGGACCCCACGGTGCCTCGGTTGCTGGTGAGCGAAGGTTTAAGTAATGCCACACTCACGCCTTCCTGCCTGGGGGGGTCCGTTACAGACCATGGTGTTCATGGCTCTCCTTGTCCTCTGGGGAAGAGAAGGGACCTTCCCAGTTCTCAGGCTAGTCCGTGGGCACAGGGTCTGCTCCCCTGCCTGCTGTGCAGAGCAGCCAGGGCCTTGGGACTCGTGAGGGCAAAGGTGAGGAGGCGGCAGCCACGACCTCCCCGCTCCAGGAGGGCCCTGTGCACCCCAGGAGGCAGGGCGGGCGGCGGGAGGGAAGAGTGGGCGGCTCAGAGGGGCCACCAGCAAAAGGGCTCTAACCTGACCCCCAGCCTGTGGGAGAGACATGACCCAGAAGGGTCCTCGGGGGGCTTGAGAGGCTGTGGGGGGCCGGCTCCGTCCAAATGAGGGACCTACCTGCGGCCCGTCTCCTTCCGGGTGGCCTCCTAGGCCCACAGTGTCTCCCAAAGGGCGGAGCCCAGTGGCAAACGAAGGGCTCCAAATAAGCCTGAGGCAGAATGACTGCCACGCGCCACCCAGAGGATCCCAAGCTCTCCCTGCGGCTTGGGCCAGAGGGGCGATGCCTCAGGTGCCCCCCAAGGTTGCCAGATTCTAAAAACCACCAAGAAAAGGTAGGGCCTGTGGGCAGGAGGGGCCGGGCACACACAGGAAGGAGAGGAATCGGGGCTCTCAGCACCCTCAGCACCAGCCAGTGGTGGCAAGTCTCACCCTGCACTTGGGCAACGTGGGGAGGGGCTTTTGTAAAAGGCATGAGGTTTGAAAAGCATCTCCTTCCCCCAGAAATACGGTCCCAGGGTCCTATTCTGTGCGATGCTGGCAGGAAGAAGGCTACTGAAAAGAACCGAAGGGTGCGGGACAGCCGGAGACACACGCATCTGAGGACAGCCGACAGGCTGAAGGGCCGGCAGGGGCCAGAGGAGGAAGCGGAGTCCCCAGGACCAGGCCGTTCTCTGCAGCCCTAGGCTGCGGCCTCTGCGGCGACCCACGGGAGGACACGCTGGGAGTCTGGTGTCCCGGAAGCAGGGCTAGTTTCCTCCACACACCCCGAGCAGGGCCAAGGCTCTGAGTCACCCAGAACCTGTTAACCTGGCATGTGAGCCGCTGGCGCCTCCCTCCCTGCTCGGGGAGTGCACTCCCCACGTGCCCGTGGTTTCAACAAGTGGGTGAGACCCAAACTTGCCCAAAGTTGGCAGACACTCAGCAAGCTCGAGGGTGCCAGACAGAAGCCTGTGTCCCAGAACAAGAGCTGTGGCAGGGTCTGAGGCCTGTCCCATGTCCTTGTCCGAAAGCCAACAGTGTGCACCTTGCCATTCTTACGAATGACGTGGTCAAGTGGCTTGTGACAGAACGTCCTGTGGTCTGTCCACATCCCACCGGAGGAAGCAGAAGGGCTGGCCTGGCGTGGCTCCCTCCTGGCTGGGTGCTCTGAGGGCCCCTTCCCTCCTGCCGCCAGCACCAGGCTGCACGCTGGCCTTTCTGTGGCTCGTCTCTGACCACCTAAGAGCACCAGGACCCGACACGTTCAGTCTACAAGTCCACGAAGCCATCAGCAGCATCCACCGGGAAACGGTTTCACACTCATGGAGACAGCTAGATCAAGGATGTGTAGGCACAGTACTAAGCTCCATCAGTTAACTTTTCATTCTACAATGGGCTGAGAAAAGCTTTGCTATTTGGCCGTCAGACCGACCTGGAACCAAAACCGTAACGGGGCTTGATCAGCCAAGGGATGCGTCAGAGCCTGGAGGAGCCCTTCGCTGCGCTCCGTCACTGCAGTCAGCTGGTCCAGCAAGGAGAGCACGTCCATCTGCCCGGCCCAGCCTGCTGTGCCCGCCTCGTGCCCAGCCGGCTCTCCACTGCGGAAGGCACCTGCTTCAGGGGCCACACCCGGTGAGCCACAGATTAGGTCACGGCCACTCGGGAGGGAGGCTCCCTCACGAAGAATTTTCCAGGCACCACCTGCTGACCTTGCCCAGCAGGAAAGCAGGGCACAGCCTGCCAAGGGCAGTCAGCGTCCAGGGCTCTCTCTCACTCCCTCCAGCAGCAAGGGGAAAGTCGGGCTAGGTGGTCTCTGCCCAAGGGACATGCTACTGGTGCCCTGAGATTACCTGCAACCCATAACGGACACTCTGGCCCCGTGACCATGACGGTCACCGCAGCCGCCCTGCCCCTCCACCCCCCGTAGTTGCCTTTTGCCTCTTTAAGAACAGAGTCGTAGAACAGTGATGAGCCCAAGCCCCGATCTGACGAACCCGGAGTCACACCTTGTCAGCACTCACGAGCTGTGTGGCCCAGAGCGAGTCACTTCACCTCTTCGTGCCTCAGTTTACTCATCTATGAAGTGGGAGTGACAGCGGTCACCTCCTGGGTTGCTGGGGGGCACATTCCAGCTCAGCCCCAGCCCCCGCTGTCACTGCCCTCGCTGTTGTTACCAGAGTCACAAGCGGAGCCCGCGGAGGCCAAGGGGCAGTCCCCGGAGATCCACGCGCCCCACGCTGCTGGGAATGAAAACCTGGCAGACACCGGGCTGCACAGAGCCAGTTTCTGATGAGACGAGGTAACCCGAGTTCCAGACATCACAGCTGAGCAGCAGCGGCCGACAAGCCGGTTGCCTCGCTGTGGAAAACTACTGCGTTCCAGCGTCTCCAGACTGAATCGGGCTGCATAGCCAGTTCCCACGGCGGCGGCTCCAGAGGGCCCAGCCCGCCAGGCGGGGGAACCCCCAGCCCGAGGGTTCACCAACCACGCGGAAACCTCGCTGCGCCTCTCTCTTCCCTCGGGGCGCCGGGGGAGGCGGCTTCTCCCCGGCAAGTGGAGCGGGGTGTGCTCCGGGATTCCCGGTCTAGGGAGCTAAGCTGCCCGCGCCTTCCTTTCCATCCTCCCTGGGCGGGGGCGCCCAGCGGCACCCGACCCTCTGCCTGCACCGGGGGGCGCCCGGGTCCCCCCAGCCACGGCCAGGACGTCGCGTGGAGGCGCAGGGAGAGGGGCGCCGCCGCTGCCGGGGACCAGCCGGGTGAGTCCGGCCGCAGGGGCCTCTCGGCCCGCGCTCCTCCCCGCTCCCCCCGGAGGTGTCTGAGCGCCTCTGTCGCAAACAAAGCCCGGCCGTCCCCGAGAAACTTCCGCGCCTGAGGATTTCCTCCCCAAGTCTGCGGCCGCAGGTGGGTGACGCCGGGGAAACGCGTTCGTCCCCGGCCGAACCCGTGGGGCCTGCGCCTGACTGTGCTCCCGGCCACCTGCCCAGGTCCCCCGCCAGGGCCCCCCCGACAGGCCCCGCTGGGCCCCCGGTGCTCACCGCCCCCGATCCGCACCCGCCCCCGATCCGCACCCGTGCAGCGGGGGCGCCTTCGCCTCGCTCCGCCCGCGGGCCACTGGGGAGCGCCCGACCTGCGCAGCTGACAGCGGCGGGCGGCGAATTTCGCCTCCGATCCCGCCCGGTCCTGCCCTCCCCCGCGGAGAGGCTCCAGGCGCTCGGCCGGTGCCCAGGCCTCCCGCCCCCGCGCGCATCCCCGCGGCGCGCCAGCCCCGGCCACGATGGGGGCACCTGCCGCGCTCCTACGCCAGCCGGTCCGGCCCTGCGCTCCCCGCTCCCGGCCTCCCGCTCCCGCTCCCGGCGCACTCACCGTCCCCGTCCCGAGGCCCGGCCGCCGTGCTGCGCTCCACGCTCTGACCGCCCGGCCGCCCGCGCCGCTTCATTCATCCGCCCGGGCCGCCCCCGACGCAGAGGGAAGGGCGGGGCTCGCGGCCTCACCCCACAGCCAATGGCTGAGCCGTCCGGGCCGCCCACGAGGGCGCAGCGGCGGGAACGCGCGGCGGAGGCGCGGCGGAGGCGCGGCGGGGACCCGGCTTCTCCCTCCCGGGCGCCGCCACTCGGAGCGGGCACCGGTCGCCGCTTCCTGAATCCCCGCTCCAGCCCCAGGGCCGGCATCGCCGCAGCCGCCGGGAAGCCGAGAACGCGCAGGGGAGACGCCGCCCCGGGCCACGCGGCGAGGCGGTTCCGGGCGGACTCGGGATTCGCTCCCGGGCGCGGTGGGACCAGGTGGAGCGGAGCCGCCGAGTTTCGGCCCCGCCCTTCGGAAAGGTCGCCGCGGTGTCGGGGCCACGTGGGGCCGGCGGCGGAGGGGCTGGGGCGCCACGAGCAGCTCTGGTGACGGTCCCCGCCAGGCCCCGCCTGACCCACCTGTGCGCGCTCGGCTAAGCCGGCGCGGTTGCCTGGGAACCCAGGGAATCTCTGGCCTGTGGCCGTTTCCATAACACCATCCTCTTATTCGCTTTTAGCCCTCAGGCCCGAGGGGAGGGAGGTGTCGGCCACATTGGCCACGTTCCCTTCTGCGGCGGGCCGCGTTTGAATTCCTGCCCGGCTCCCTGCCATGTGACCCCGACACATTGCTCCAGGCCTCCGAGCCTCAGTTTCCTTGTCTGTAAAATGAGGGCAATGACGGATGAGACGGAAGATGATAGCTCATGTCAGAGCTCGTAACTGTCTGAGTGTTCACAGGTCACCACAATCACCCTCCACGAAGCTTCCCTTTTAGCGTCAGTGAAATTTATTTATTTTTTAAAAGTTTCCGAAAGTCGTGTGTGTGTGTGTGTGTGTGTGTGTGTGTGTATGTGTGAATCCCGAGATAAGTCGGATAAAGGAGCAAGGACCCCTCAACGGCCCCAGGCTGGTGAGGAGGTCCCCATGGAGCCACGGAGGCGGTGCCAGCAGGACCTGGCCTGGCCCTGTAGCATGGGGGGCATTCGCCGTGGACGGGAGACGGAGGTGCTGGAGCTTATGGAAAAGGCCCACGACCCCACGCGGTTATTTATGAAATGGTTTTCTGTCCTCCGGGCTTGGGGTTGGCGCCCACTCGTGCCTGGTCCTGGGACCCCCCTGCTGTGTCCTCACGGCTCCCGCTGTCCCCAGGCCACCCTCCACTTCTCACCCACTGCTTTTGGGTATCTACTTCCATTCCTGACGCTGTCCTTTAAGAGAAAGAAATGAGCCGCCATTGTTCCAGGATGGAGAGGGTCCCTCCCAGAGGGTGAGGCGCTGCTACAGGGGCTCAAGGCCTGCCAGGAGTGGAAGACGCACACTGGAAGGGCTTCCCCTGGGAGGGGGGAGCCGGGCTTCGCTGCAGACCTGGCCTCAGTGCAGAGTCTGCAGGGAGCAGCATTTCCAAGCGGATCTGGCAGCAGGTGCCTTTGGGAGGTAGTGAGCTCCCTGTTACAGGAGGCATGCAAGCAGAGGTCGTCCATTTTCTGGTGATGATGCTGGTGAAGCACTCCAAAGGTCAGAGGCAGGATTAGACTCTTCAGAACTTGCTTCTGCTTTCTATCCCCTGAAACCGTTATTTACACAATGCTTTTCCTTTAAACATTCATGTTGCCGGGCGCGGTGGCTCAAGCCTGTCATCCCAGCACTTTGGGAAGCCGAGGCGGGTGGATCACGAGGTCAAGAGATCGAGACCATCCTGGTCAACATGGTGAAACCCCGTCTCTACTAAAAATACAAAAAATTAGCTGGGCATGGGGCGCGTGCCTGTAATCCCAGCTACTCCGGAGGCTGAGGCAGGAGAATTGCCTGAACCCAGGAGGCGGAGGTTGCGGTGAGCCGAGGTCGCGCCATTGCACTCCAGCCTGGGTAACAAGAGCGAAACTCCGTCCCCCCAAAAAAAAAAAAATTCATGTATTTTATGAAAAGGGTACATTTAGTTTTAAAAAGGTCAGTGGGTCAGTGTCAGTTACTATAGAGAGGTTACCACAGAAAGAGAAAGAAAGTAGTATTGAATTCCAGCCAAATACTGCTGCCCGTGGAGGCTTCCGGCCTCCCTGCCTCAGACCCCGCCAGGCATTCTGTGGGATTCCTGCGTAGGCACCACTGGAAAAGTAAATCCAGAGCAAACATTTCAGGTACATGAATGCAAAATGCTGGTCCCCAGTCCTGTCCTCACAGGCAAAGCCTGGTGCCCAGGATCCCCAAGAGGCCCCCAAGAGCGCCAGGAGGGCTTGACCCAGGCCACACCTGTGCGAGCTGCCCGAAGGGTCCTGGTGCAGGGCATCCACGGGTCTGTCTGCAGGTCTGGCCCATGGTGGGGTTCATCGGTACCAGCTTTCGGGAGCCGACTCTGTCCTCCGTCTTGCCCTAGCGGATCGGGGTCAGCTTCAGGGCACAGCAGTGTATTGGAACAAGGCCTGCCTGAGCACGTGCCCTGAAATGTTCTGAACTCAGTAAGTTTATCCCAGGAGGGCTCTTTTTCTTTTCCTTTTCTTTTTCTTTTATTTGAAGAGAAAACAAAAGAAAAGGAAAGGGGCCGGGCAAGGTGGCTCACGCCTATAATCCCAGCACTTTGGGAGGCTGAGGTAGGTGGATCACAAGGTCAGGAGTTCGAGACCAGCCTGGCCAAAATAGTGAAACCCCGTTTCTACTAAAATACAAAAAATTAGCCAGGCGTGGTGGCACGTGCCTGTAGTCCCAGCTGCTTGGGAGGCTGAAGCAGGAGAATTGCTTAAACCCAGGAGGTGGAGGTTGCAGTGAGCCAAGATCATGCCACTGCACTCCAGCCTGGGCAACAGTGTGAGACTCCATCTCAGAAAGAAAGAAAGAAGGAAGAAAGGAAGGAAGGAAGGAGAGAGAGAGTGAGCCCTCTGGCTCCCCTGTGGCCTTGTGGGGCCGCACTGCTGCCTGTCTGGGTGGCTTCAGGAGACTCGGAACACATGCTGCCTGTGTTTACCGCCAATGGCTGTTCCCTGACATCCTCCATAGGGGCTTCCCAAATAGCTGAGAAGTGCCAGCCCTCTCTCTTTATGGACATTGTCACTTGGAGGAAAATCAATCTCAAGAACAGAAGACAAGTGTAGAGAGAGAAACGTGGTCAGGTCGGGGGCCGGTCAGTGGCCAACCAAGAAACAGAGGTGGGTCCCGGCATCTCTGCCCGGGGGTCCAGCCAGGAGCTCATCATTCCCGGCTTTGACCAGGAACGGCACCCAAAAACTGACCTCACTTAGCGATTCGCACTTGTTTAGAACACCTAAAATCCTGCTCACGCATTTCTGCTTGCTTTTGTTATGTGGTCGTATTTCATTTCTATTTTCTATGAATTTTGCATATGTATTAGCTGACTCATTTGAGACTACCTGTTCTTCCTTGACTTACCAAAACAAATGGCCCTTTCAGATATGGACAAGTCTCAGAAATGAAGATTTCAAAGTCTCAGGCTGTGGCCATGCGGTGGAGGCTCTAGAGGAAGTTTCTAAAAAATATTTAAAGTTATGATTGCACTGTTTTGCATGAGAAAGAGGGTTTTGCTGAAGCTTGAAGGCGATCGGGCTGCAGGCAGGCGAGACGTGGCTTGAAGTCCCCAGCTACAGAGAGACACGGTTCAGTCTATTAAATTCTGTGTTCAGGTGAGGAGTTCGGATCATGGTGCCGCCCACATGTGGGCTGGCGGCTGGCACACAGCTTGGAAAGAAGAGAAGCACAAGGTCAGAGTGGCCTCAGGAAAAAACCCAGCCCAGAGCTGCACAGTTGTCTGGGATGGAGAACCTTTGTGGGAGAATTAAGATTGTCAGGTTAGGGAAGGCCACTGGTGGCTGGGAGGCTCTTTGGTAGCAAAATTCCATGGATGATAAAAAGCATTTTCTCTCTTGGAAATCGTCAGTCCATCCTGTGGGGAGCCCCTTTGGAGCAGGGTGCAGCTGGAGAGCCCAGCTTGCCGGCCATGCTGCAGGCAACACACGGACTTTCCCCAGCTTCGCTTCCTGTTCTTCCCGGTGATCTGTCCTGCGGGGCATACGGCAAGCCATCCGTGGGACCAAGATCTCCATCTTCCATCCACGCCCCTTTGCTGGCATGAGACGTGACCTGAGGCACTGGCCCCACTGAGCTGGGCCAGCTCCTAACAAACGCCGTCCGCCGTCTGGGAACAGTAGCCTAGCAATCCAGAGCAACAGAGGCCTCCCGCCCTCCTCCCTCCCGCCCTCCTCCCTCCTGCCCTTCTGCCTCCCGCGGTCCTCCCTCCCTCCCACCATCCTCCCTCCCGCCATCCTCCCTTCTGCCCTCCTCCCTCCCTCCCGCCATCCTCCCTCCCTCCCGCCATCTTCCCTCCCTCCCGCCCTCCTCCCTCCCGCCCTCCTCCCTCCCTCCCACCATCCTCCCTCCCACCATCCTCCCTCCTGACGTCCTCCCTCTGCGTCTCCCAGAGCACAGTGACTCCAGGGAAACAGACTCAATTCAATCTTTGTTTCAGAGAATCTGTCACCATTGAAAGTGGCTACCAGGGAGTGTGATTCCGTTGCACCTGGCCTCCGGTCTCAGGCATTCTTCCAAAATGCTGGCGGATGGTGGGAACGCTCCCTGGGATTACAGACGGCCGGATAAATCACATGCGAGTAAGCTGCATTTCACCTGCTGACACAGGGCGGCCTTCTTGGTGGTGGGGACAGAAGTTTTGATCCGGTAGAACAAAGACCATCATTCACAAGCACCAGGGCCCGTTGACGCTTAGCCTTCAGCTTCTGGGCAGGCAGCTTCGTTACGCTATCATGTTGTCTTAGAAGCCACCTTCTAATTTCTTTGTGTTCAGAGGCTGCTACTAGAGATTAGGTTTGGGGTAGAAAAAATTGGAGTCTGGACTTCCCTGCCTGGCAGATGGTCTGAGCTCTGAGATGTGATTTGAGGACACCTGGCATGCCCTAGGTTCCAGGGGACACAGATCAGCCAACTGGGGAAAAGGCCACTGAATGCCAGTGGCTCCGTGGCACGGGCACGTGGAGCTGCAGGAAGAGACGTGCTGGCTCCCGGCACCTGCAGAGCCGTGGCTGCCCACAGCCTCTCTAGAAGGGTCATCTGGATTTCACTGGGGGGCTCTGCCTGTGTGGTCTTCTGCCCACACTCTTACGAAGAGGCACCGCCTGGCGGCCTGAGGGCGTCTGGAGCTGCCCAGGTCTGCCTGGCTCCTGAGCCTGCCCCCTGGTCTGGGGGTGGAGGTGTTCACAGGGTTCACTTGGCTGGGATCTCACCGTCTGGAAGGGCCTTGAGTTAGGTAAGT